CCCAGTGGGCCTCAGCAGATGGCCGCTCACACTGAGCCGGGTTCTAATGGAGGTTTCTTCCTGTTCAAAGGGAGTTTTCCTGTCCACCATCTCTACAAGCATGCTTGGTGTGAAGGATTGCTGAACGGTCAATGAGTCGATGCAATCAACTGTTTTTCTTTAGATAGAAAACTTTGAACTCTGATCTTGTTAAATTGTGTCTAAAGTGACCTGAGATTACAAGTGTTGTGAATTGTTGCCATATAAATAAACCGAATTGAAATGAATCTAATTATCATTTCACATCTAAATTTGTATTTATAGGTGATTTTATTGTCATTACACTGTCACAAGTGCAGAGAAACGAAATGAACTCTCTGCATTTAAGCCATCCCCTTGGGGAGCAGTGGGCTGCCATTGTGAGGCGCCCAGGGAGCAGAGTGGGGTTAAGGGTCTTTGCTCAGGGGCCCAGAGTGGGGATCTGTGGGGTTTGGGCTCAAACTCAGAACCTCTGCATTCCAAGCTCTGTGCCCTAACCACTAGGTCGTCACTCCCCCAATTAAATTTCCCATGTCGGACATTATCTTTACCTTTTAATAATGAAGTTCAGGCATTTTTTGTAAAAGCCAGGCTGTCTGATGAGCTGTAAAAGCTGTTGATGTGACTTTTCCTAAAGCAGCTCGGCTCCCTTCATGTCTCCTTCACATGTTATGCAGATGGAATAATAATCTCTGCAATCAAACGGTTGGGATTGACCTGAATATAATTTTTCTGTGACTGACTCCCAGCAGTTCTCCTTAATGTCCCACTGACTTCATTCCGGTTCCATACATCATTTCAGCGTGGGGTTTCCCCTCCCGTTCACACGTGGTCAAACATCACTTCCTGTTCCACATCCATAGTAACGTAACGCTGCAGTCCTTTTATTTATGCAATATCTCAACTTTAAACACTCACAGCTTTCATATGTTGACCACCCACCTCCCACCATGTGTCTGCTTCAGTTTGGGACACATTCCCTTTCATATTCCACATAGATGATCTGAAAGTTTTGATTTTCAGTTTTGAAGCAAGACTGAAAATCAAACTTTTAGTCCTAATGTTTAAAATGTAATGATCAGAGAGTCTGGGTGGGGGGGGGAGTTGGAGGGGAGGCACAGGTGTGCATCTGTTTATGCTTTAAGGGGAAGTCATTCACAGAGGTTTTGTGTAGGAGTGTGTGGCGTGTGTGATCCTCCCAGGTTCACACAGGTTCCTCATCTACTCTCCACCTATGAGTGACATCACTGGAGTTTCCACTGAAAGGAAGAAACAGCTTTTAAAAGGCAGACTCACAATGTCAGTCAACTAGAACAGAGAAAGAGTCCTTTACTATCCTGGTGTAGCCACAGATAAACTGATAGCGAGAACCTACACAGAAGAATGGAGAGAGAAAGCAAGGTCCTACTGGAGGTTGATGCCAGCATGGAGGCAGACGATCCGACAACAGCCAAGAAGTTTCAAAAGTCCAGACTCTCTATGGCGCTGATCGCCTTGAGTCTCTGCCTGGCTTCTGGTGCTGCTGTGTTCCTCTTCTCCAGCGCTCCTGTAACGGTGAGTCCACGTGTCTTCATACGGTCAGATACCCTCAGCAGCAATCTCTCAGTGAAACTAACGCTGTCTCTCCATCCGTCTTCTGACAGGGCGAAGGACAAGAGGAGAGCAGCTTTGGTGGTAAGCTTTCCTGAATCCTTTTCACATATTGAAACTTTGAGGTTTTCTGACAGCATTTATTTCTTGAAATTTGACAGAATGTTAGTAAATGGTCCAGTTTCTACCTGTAGACATTATCTGCATGTTGTTTCCTAATCAGTTATTTAAATGGCACTACCAAAAGTGAAATCTAGCTGCGAAGAATGCTGTATTGTATCCAGGTGGGGGGCTAATGCTTTTCCCTCTCTGATTCTAACAGATCTTAGGCACAAACTGAGGCAGATTTCCAGCACGAGGGCAGCTATTCATCTGGAGGGTAAGTCCATTGACTGTAGTTTACGGCTGACCGCAGCCTTGCTCTGACTGTCTCTGTTTCCACACAATATGAAAAATGCCAAAGGGCATCTATTGATTGAACTATTTACGGTTTCAGCTGCTATATAAGCACTTTAAAACATTGGACGTATTTAGTAAGATGAAAGAATCAACAAAATTAGTTTATTAATTCAATCCAATTCAGTTTATCTATATAGTGCCAATCCACAACACATCTCAAGGCAATTTACAGTTCACCAGATCATCCAGTCAAATTGATTCAAAGTTTACTGTCTAAGGAAAACCGGCTGATTGCACCGACTCATTGGCTCTTCAGCAATCCCTCACACTAAGCATGCTTGTAGCGACAGTGGAGAGGAAAAACTCCCTTTTAACAGAAAGAAACCTCCAGCAGAACCAGGCTCAGAAGCAGACATAGAAAAAGAAGCAGAGATACAAAAGGCAACTGTAAAAGGCGGCCCCGACCAGGGGCTATTATTACACAATATATCTGTTTATTTTTTGGTAACTTTTCACTAAGACTGGGAGCTGCAGGTGTGCAACAAATAGCAACTAGATAACAATTGCAACAATGAAGATTTTTAAACTTTGTCCATTTCTTTTCAACAGGAGAATACAACGAGTCAATGAAGACGTCTGTGATGTGGAAGAATAAAGTGGACCAGGGACACTCTCAAGGCGGGCTGAAGCTCCAAAACAATGAGATCTTGATTCCTCATAGCGGCCTCTACTTTGTTTACAGCCAGGCCTCTTTCCTAATGAGCTGCAGCCAAGATGCTGATGACACTAACCCCCTGGTCCATGTGAGTCACACGGTTCAGCGCTGGACCAAGTCAATGGGCAGTGCCTATCAAACCATCATGCACTCTGTTCGTAGTGTATGCCAGACCACAGCCAACAATGATTCAGACAGGATTGGAAGCTGGCGCTCTGCGATATACATGGGAGCAGTGTTCAACTTAAACAAGGGGGACAAACTGAAGACAGTCATGGAAGAGAGGATGCTTGAAGCGCTGGAGGACGGTCATGGAGACACTTTTTTTGGTGTGTTTGCCTTGTAAAGATATACATACAGTGTATGTAGAGCTAGTTTTATAGCTCTGCTATATGCAGCACTGCCTGCTGCGTGTTGCAGAAGTGCCATTGTTGTTTTGGGTTTAAGGAACCACTAGTTCTCGTTTACAGACACTGGAATATCCATGTTTGATCTACGTCGGTGTTATTCTATGATCCAAGTCAGTTTTTTTACTTATTCATTTGTCACATCACTGATATAACTAAATATCCTGTTTTTGCTGCTATTTTATTGTTTCACTACAGCCTGACAAAAACAGGTGGGGTTTATTTATAATTGTATTTATTTAATTGAAACTATTTATTTATTTTATGTATTTATTCTTTTTTTATAATTAAAATTGTAGAATTTATTACGGATTCTGTGTTGCTAAACACTTTTAAAAAATAAAAACATGTAATGAGAAAATAAGCGTTTCAAACTTTATTCTTGAAATCGAGAAGTTAAATTTATCTGATCTGCAGTAGAGAAAAAGCTCAAATATCTGCTTCAGAGAGAAGTGATAATGAATGAATGAATGAATGAATGAATGAATGAATGAATGAATGAATGAATGAATGAATGAATGAATGCAGTGCCTTTTCACATCAGTGTCATTAAAAAACCTTTTTTTAGCATCCTGGTCCCGATGACGAAAGACTCAAACTGGGCCCCCTGCCTGCTGAGCAGCTGCAGTCACTACATATGAAGGATTGAAATGACCCATCAGTAGCTGTTTGTAACTAACTTTAATATTAAAGGAATAGTACACCCAAAACATGATTAGCCTTCATTTTCTACTCACCCCCATGCTGAACAACACTCTGGAGTACTTTTTTGATATCTCAAATGCATCTGGAGATCTGGGAGCTTCTTGCTGTCTGCTGACATTCAAATAATGGAGGTCTATGGCGCCCGAGGCAGAAAGGTCCATAAAAGTCCACAAAAAACGTGTCAATATTCCTCCATACTGCTCGTCCAATGTATTCCAAGTGTCCTGAGTTGGTAGCGTCCATAATTTACTCGAAACGAAGTCATTTAGAATGTTTTTAGAGCATAAACAGTAGTGTATAGGATTTCCTCGCATTCACGAGTCTACGGAAGCCGGCAGACCAAACCAGACGAAAGTGCGCATTCAGCGTCTGCTCTGCCGATAATGCAAGCGTAGAAGAAGAAATGTGCTGTTTACCTGTGCAAAGAAAGAAACAAGGAAAGAAAAATGTCTGAGGACTTCAGTGTTGAGGAAGAGCATGAGTTCTTTGCCGAGCTGAATGCGCACTTTCATCTGGTTTGGTCTGCCGCGGTTTCCTTTTAGTCGTGAACGCGCTTTTAGGAAATCCTATACACTACTGTTTATGCTCTAAAAACATTCTAAATGACTTCGTTTCGAGTAAATTCTGGATGCTACCCACTCAGGACACTTGGAATACATTGGACGAGCAGTATGGAGGAATATTGACACGTTTTTTGTGGACTTTTATGGACCTTTCTGCCTCAGGCGCCATAGACCTCCATTATTTGAATGTCAGCAGACAGCAAGAAGCCTCCCAGATCTCCAGATGCATTTGAGATATCAAAAAAGTACTCCAGAGTGTTGTTCAGCATGGGGGTGAGTAGAAAATGAAGGCTAATCATGTTTTGGGTGTACTATTCCTTTAATATTACAATTAATGGTACAACAGTGCATACATCATGCAAATCCCCATTTTATATGAGATTAAAAGCAGACAAAAAAAGTTTGAAAATGGGTTTATATTAATCATTTAGTGAAAGAAAATTTAAAATCATTTCTACTTTATATCAAAAACTGATGATAAAGAAACATTCAACTAAGTACATAAAAGAAAAGTGGGAATCAGAGCTTAATATAACAATTTTAGATGAAGATTGGCGAGATATATGGAAAACACACCAGACATCCACCAATTCACGGATATGGAGGGAGTTCACATGGAAAAATCGAATACGATTTTTTATCACGCCTTAAGTCAAGAATAAATATAACGATAAAAACATGGGGTGTTGGCGGAATTGTGGATCAATGAATGCTGATCATTCTCACATATTCTGGAACTGCCCTAAAATTGTTAAATTTTGGAAAAATGTACAAGAAAGTGTAAAGAAGATACTGAGATATGATATTCCTATGAACAGCGCGGTGCAATACGTTTGCAATTTGAACAATATCAAAGTACGGGTAAAAGACAAGTATCTGATTAAGATATTGTTAATAGCTAGCAAAAAAGCTATCACGAGGAAATGGGGACAGGCGGACCCCCCTTGTCAAGAACAATGGACTGAAATAATAGAAGAAATCTACATTATGGAAAAGCTGACACATCGTCTAAGACTTCAACAAACTCAAATGGAGGAAAAGAGGAGGAAATGGACAAGATTCAAGACAAAAGACAGCGACAAAGATTAAAAAAATAAATAAACTAGACGGGACAAAGGCCAAATAGATGAATAGCTCCCAAGTGAAAGCTCTATGTTACGTTGAGTTCAATGTATATTGTTCATGTACACTGTATTTGTAAAAAGTGGAAAATATCAATAAAAAGTTAAATGTTAAAAAAAGAAAATGGGTTTACATTTATATCCATTTTATCAGCTGTAGTTGCAGAACCCCTCAATAAGTACTTGAGATATTTAAAAAAGAATCTCCTCACCTCTGTGCAGCCGCAGATGCGTGGTTGGTCCATCAACTTACTTGGGTCCTGACAGGAAACACCATTATTTCAAGGAAAGCTCTGTGTTTCGTTCTCTCTCTGGTTCTTTTCCTGAGAAGAGACAACTTGGGGAAAACTAAATAAAACTTCTGTCATGGTTTTGGTTCTGTTGTGCTTTACTTTGCTCCATGTTTCCTAGTTTTATTGGTTTAATTCCTATTTTGTTGTAGTTTCTAGATTTATGTTAGCTCTCAGGTTTTTCTGTTGTTGTCCTCTGTTGCCCTCTTGTGTGTGTTCCTCTCCCCTTGGCTTTCTCGTTGTCTCCAGTCACACCTGCTCCTTATCTGCTCGTTAACCCTGCCTTTATCTCAGTCAGCTATTTATACTCTCCCTCTGCTGTCACTCCTTGTTGGTTCCTTGTCGTTGCTGGCTTCTCATGTTGTTGTCTTCCTACCTCGTCTCTCCCTGGCTCCTCGTGTTTGGTTTCCCCTGATGTCTCCTTGGTTCTGGTTTGCTTTTCAATTTAGTTGGATTTTTGTTAAAATGTTAAACTGTTTCCTCTGATTAAATCTACAAGAATTCACCTCTGCCTCCCTGCCTCTGCATTTGGGTCCAGAAACACCAACCAAAACGTGACAACTTCATAATGTTTATGTATTAAATAACCAGGAGACAGGAAAACAGATTTTGACAGAAATTCTTATCTTACCCAGATCAATTGCCTTGAGTTACAGAAGGAAGCTGCTTACCAACTGGGCTCACATGTCGTTGGAGTGGCCCCGAATCACAGATAAAGAAGCATTTTATAAACTCCGGTCTTCCACATCTTCACATCATTAGGGTTCTGTCACACCTTGCTGATTTAGCCAGCGTATGCCTGACATCCCAGAATCTCCTAAAACGCTGACATACACCAAACTTTCTATGTATTTTTTCAAATTTGGGTGTATACATAAAGTATTCATAATGAATCCAGAACTTACAGCCTAACTTATGCATAAGGCATGGCAGCGTAATGCCCATGAAATGATGCACAAGCCTGAGGGCGGCAGCGATGCACCCGGAGGCACCCAGCCTGCATAAAAAGACTAATTTGATTAACCTAGCTACTGTTTACTGCCAGCCACAAAAAAAAGAAAAATGAAAAAGACAGAAAGAAAGAAGTTTTGCAGTGGCAGTAGATTCAGTGTCATGCCTACTAGGAAGTTTATCTGTAACTTATGCCCCATGTATGGCATACGCTAGCATACATCAAGAAATTTGCCTTAAAATTTCTCGACAAAACAGCGTTTTCCACACGGAAATACCGGTGTTACGTCGAGCTGCGTTTCGCCATCAGATACGGTTTCCCCTGCATCTCCGCACAGCGCAGGCG